TTAGGTCTGAGTAAATACCGAGCAAAGGGAACAAGGCAAAGGGAAGACGAAAGCCAGATCAAACAGAAAAGGAAACACACCAGCAGGCCGCTGCCTGGCACAGTCCGCATGGCCCGGCTGAACCCTTGGCCTGTGCCACCTGGAGCCACCTCCACGAGGAGTTACGCAGAGGTGACGTGGTGAGTCTGCACCCGAGGGGCTCTGCCGAGGGTAGAGGGAAAGATGTTCCTGCAGCCCAGGTGAACAGGACACTCACGCTGCTCCTCGGCTGCCTGGAACCCCAGCCTCTGGGCCTCACACTCAGGTCCTCCTCTGCGACGTTTCCATTTTTCATGTGCTCTTATCAAGCAAAAGAGGGCCAGGTGTTTAAGCTCCCCAAACAGAGGTAACCTATTGAAGGCACCAGGAGAGCCTGAACAGCAGGCAGGGCTGCTGCTATCAGTAACAGTGTCCCTCTCCCTGAGCTTCTTCGGGAGCCACATGTGTTCTGTTGGCAGCTTGAGGTTCAAATCTTGATGCACCTTTAGCAGTGGAAGATGGATCTCCCGAGTGAGGAGACAGCTGGAGGACAGTGAGCAGCTGGCTCGGGCAGGTGATCCTGCCCCACCCCCAGGTCACTGGGAGGGCTGGACCCAAGTTCAGAAGGCGGCACGCGACTACACTTTAATGACTTCTGCGGACTGCGTGTGGTATATAAATGGGTACGAGCACCATGGAAAACTGGCAAGAGCCCTGCTCCTGGCCAAATAAGCAACTGAAATGTATTTGTCTGGGTCCAAGATAAAGAGCTCAAGAATGCTCAGAGTTTCATTCAGAAAACTGGAAGCCACCCAGATGTCCTTCAGGACGAACAGGATGGTGGGAGCAGAATCCACCTCAAGGAAAAAGAATGAATTCAGCCACACCCACGACAGGGACCAGTCTCACGACCTTGAGGTGGACAGAAGAAAGCCAGAAAGGACACAATGTACTTCCCAGAGGGATTTAGAAGCCACGAGGTGGCTGCTTTTGCAAAAGGGACAGAAGGACACAGGTGCGTTTTCTGTGGTGCTGACAAGATTGTGTCACAATCTGGGCAGTAATTCGGGGCATAGCCCACTTGTGATATTCGCAGGGTGCACTACTGATTTCTTGATGAGTGCCCACTTCAGTATTTACATACAGAGTGAAATATTCAAGTTCATTTAATTAGCGCATTTCAGTGAGTACTTTTTAAGTACTTTGTATTTGGAATAGAGAAACAGACTTTAAAAGGAGCAGACTGACCCACTAGCACACACATTCTCTCACCCCCACGTGCACACACACACACATACATGGCATGGGCTGTCCTTGGCCATGGACAGGGCTCTAGCCAGCACGAAGACCACATCCTTCCTCCCCACGAGGTCAGGGGTGAGCTCTGAGTTAGGCCGCACCTCTGCCCTCATGGCCCTCCTGTTTGTGGCTGAGTCTCTAGGGTGCTAGTGTATGCCCAGCCCCCAGAGTCTGCAGTGCACTTTGCGGTGAGACAGCCCGGTGACCTCAAAATCCCCAGGTCAGCTGTGGGGTCAACATGGCTCCTGGGACATGCTGTGCACGGACCAGTGAAAGTCACATCCGAGGCCCCTCGCCCTGCTCGCCTAGCCTGGGTGCTAAGAGGAGGCCACTTCAACCTGACACAAAGGAAGCGGTCAGGGGCTTGCACCGTGCACATGTGGGCAATTCCAGGTGCACTTTAAATAGCCGTGCCATGGAAACAGTGTGTAAAGCACACCTTCCACAAAGCTGCGCCCTCCCCGCCACGGACCAGCCCTGGGAGCTGCATTCTTCAGAGCTGGCTGGGTCTAAAAGGAAGTACAGGGACCCCCAACCCGGGGGCACATCTCCAGGGGGTGCCTGAACCACCGATTATCCTGAGGAGTTCTGTGGGTACTGAGTTCACCTGCCTTAGGCACAGTGAGAGAAGAACAATGGTAACGAATAATAAAATAGCGTTCAACAATATATTGTAATAAATGTGATTTCAGACTTAAGCACTTTTTAAAAAAAAACTTAGAATTGTTTATTTCTAGAATGTTCCACGTAATATTTTGGACTGTGAATGATTAAAATCAAAGAAAGAAAGCCCCTGCATAGAGGAGACTATGACAACATTTTCTTCTCTTAAAAACTTTCCCTCCAACTCTTGCTTCTTTATCATTCATTTCTCCAAGGCAGCCAGAGAGATCTTTACAAAAAGTAAAGATCGCATGGCATCACTGCCGGAAACCCAGAAACCCAGCCACCACAGCCTGCTGCTCCGCCTCGTAGCCTCCACACCTGCTGTTCCCTCTCCCCGAAACACCCTTCCTTCAGATCTCCCGAGTGGCCCTTCCCACCCACAGTCTGCGGGCCACACCCCAGCCCACAGCCTCCCGCTCTCACTGTCTGAAATCCACTTGCTCAGCCATCATCTTACATGCTGACCCCGGCGCCTTGACCAGAAAGTATCGCCAGCAAGACCCAGGGCTGCTCTGTGCTGTTTCACAGAGGCTTTGTGCAGGGTCCTCAGCCCTCCCAGCAGAGAACACAGAGGCCGCGCTCTGGAGCTCAAGGAAGCGCAGGCCCCCATCAGTGGGGTCTCCAGCAGGCATGCAGGTGGGGGACATGCGCGAGGCGTGAGAGGGTCTCCACAGACGCCCAGGTCATGGCCAGCCTCGGGGAAAAACCCAGCCAAGTCCGGGGGGCTTCCCGGGACCCCAGGGAGATGCAAGTCAGCTTTCAAGATGGGTGCTTGTGTCTGTCTAGAATCAGAGGCCTCCTCCCACACGCACCCACCTGCTCGCTTCCTCTCCCAGCGGCAGAGCCTTCCCGGGCCCTGGGCACACGAGGGCTGGGCTCTCGCCCTGCTTCCCAGAAAAGCCAACTTGGACAAAACCCCCAGGCAGACAGCAGCAGACGAGTTACTTTCACATTTTTAAGCTGTGGAATCTTCTGCAGAGGATCCCTCCTGAAATCCCACGGGCAGGGCCCACAAGAACGCACTCCACCCAGAACAATCTCACTGAGCTCAGGGCTCCGGCTGGGAGCACACCCCACACCGAGGGCCCAACCGGATCCACAAGGACGCCTCGGGGCTCCACTCAGCTGCTTCCTCTGTGACAGAAGTTAGCCCAACCTGGGGCTGCTCCACACACTTGTGACTACCTGGGCCACCTGGACATTGTGGTCTCCCAACCAAGGTGCTCATGGTCAGTCTTCACATGGGATGACGGACAGGATGGGAGACTGCAATCAGACCCTCTGGGGACTAACTCAGCACCTGGCACGGACAGCTGGAGACACCCTGCCCTGCTTGGACACTCATGTGGTCCTAAAGTACCTCGCCTCCCACACGGTCTCCAGATGCAAATGGGGACAGGTGCAGTTACAGCCTGGACTCCCCGGCAGGCTGTCTAGGTCGCACTCTCTATGCTGACAGCCGTTTCCAATAAGCACCAAGACTTCCTCTTAGCCATTTCCGATGCAAGTCACCACAGGACCGATGGGACACCGGTCTCCACTGCACAAAGAGCAAGTAGCTTTCACTCTGTGCTCGATTATTCTGGCTCAGTCAACCAATGAGTCGCACAGCAACACTCAGGTCGGCTCTGTAAGGCACTCGGGATGGGATGTCCTATACCGAGTGGCCCCCCGGTCTTAGCTCAATCAATTTAGGTGACCTTTTAGGTGGGTGGTGTCACCAGAGAGAGGACACAGAAACTACTAGAAGTCACAGACTCTCCCGATAACTTGGCCCATCAAGACTCTGTGCAAAGTCTGAGTGAGCATTAAAGGATTTTCCTGGCACCCAAGTGTCTGAATATAGGCTTTATCGTAACTACTGTGGGCGTTTTGAAGCTCTCTGGCAAATTTTCTACTCCTGGGCTGAGTTCCTGAGAGCTAATTTTACTAAAAAATTGAGTTTTGAGGGTGTAGACAGAAGATCCTTAATCCAACATCTCAAAATGTTCTGAAATCCAAAACCAAAATTCAAAAGCACCAACATGATGCTCAAAAAATTTCAGATTCTAGATATTCTGGATTTCAGATTTTTGCAGTAGGGATGCTCAATTGGCAAAGTCTTTACAAATATTCCCAAGCTGGAAACACTTCTGGTGCCAGGCTCTTTGTGTGTGAGCCACCACGGGCTATGAAACACGGGCACCCTGCCCCTCGTAGGGTTTCCTTCTCTTAAGAAACTCCCGCCACTTGCTTGCTTTCCCCAACTCTCCAGAGCCCTCAAGAAAAGGCTGCTGTGCCTGCCCCCCCTCCCCGCCCTGCAGCGCTTCCTCACTGATCTCAGGTGAGCCTGATCCATGCAACTCGAGCCCTTCCTTCCCAGACCCAGATCAGCAGGCCACAGCGCTCTGGCCACCCCGGGAGCCTTCCTGCATCTCCCCCTGGGCCCGCCACCCTCCACTGGGCTCACACAGCTGAAGCCCACTGCCACCCTCCCATCAGTGTGCTCTGTGTCCCCCCAGCCCAGCCGCCTGGCCACCCACAAGCCCTATTCATGCTCCTGCGCTCCTGCCGCCGAGGGAGGCCGCTCAGTGGCCACTGGGCCTCCTTCCTCCCCGCCCCTCCTGCACAAGCGGGCTGTGGAGTGGGCTTTCTCTCCAGGAAGAGGGGAGGCTGGTCTGCCTTCCTTTTTGCTTTCCTATCCTCAGTCTAAATCTGGCAACCGGAATGAGAATGGAAACAGTGAAATGACCTAGCTCGTGACCTTGGGAGACAACACGCCTGTAGGCAGAACCTCCTGCCTTTGCTTTGTCTACTGGGGTGCTAGGAGGGGACATTTGAAACTGTAACCACCCACCGCCAAAGCTCCTGCTGGGAGCCGCTAGCTGCACAGCATGACAGGCCATCTTACTGGAGTCCCTAAATTAAGTGGGGACCCGAGTCCTACAAGGGTGGGGAACACACTGTACAGAAGCCATTCAGTGACCTTTGGGCGGGGGGACTTTCCTTAGAGGCAACGAGAAAACAGAGCATCTTACCGTCATCCAAGTAGGTCTGGTCCAAGTTCTGCTCCTGTTTAATTGTGACTCCTGTGGGCAGCGCTTCCTTTTGGTCACTGACTGGGGGTCCGTTTTTGGCGGCTCTTTGGCTTGGGGTGTTCTGCTGCTGAATAACTGTGGGGTAGGAGCCCGGGCTTAGCCGCTGACCTTGACTGACCGGAGGCAGGCCAGGCCGGGCAGTGCCAGGTGCAAAATTCTCGCAGTACATGATGTGCTGGAACTCCTGGTGGCTCCCGCAGCGCAGCTGCTGGTTGGTGGGCGAGTAGTGGATGACCGGTGAGGCCTGCTGGTTGGCAGGCGCGGGGTGGAGCAGGGCTGGGTTCTGACCCGGGGAGCCTGCGTGCACCAGCACGGAGCGGTGGGTGTCCGCAAGGGACAGGGGTGTGGTCATGAGGGGCGGCTGCTGGTAGCCCAGCAGGCTGGGGCTCAGGCTCTTGCTCCGCTGGTAGAGGACGGCCGCTGGGTTCTGCTGCTGGTAGCGGGCGTCAGGGGAGGACAGCCCTGAGCGGAATTGCTGGCAGGGAGCCATGGTGGCCACAAGGCAGGATGGGGACTCGGCCACCATTGGGTGCTGGGGGTAGTAGGGCTGGCTCCCCAGGCCCCCATGGGCGGGGCTGCAGATCAAAGAGGGGTCGTACTCATCGCTGGGCTCCGTCTTGATGGCTGGGACTGCCAGGAGAGAAAAGCACACGGTTGTACCAACCACAGTGAGTGGACAGGGTCAATGCTTCAGGAGCCCAGATGGCTGGGACCAAGGAGTTGAGCTCTGCCACTACCATTGGCCAGAAGGCTCCCTGTGCAACCGTCATAACTTGGAAACTTTACCCTGGCAGTGACCAGAATTACAGCTCTTTCCAATTTGGAAAGGCAGCTGGGGGCCTGACTCGGCACTGGAACCTTCATGGCCTCATCCCAGAGGAGGAAGCTCAGAGTATTTAAGACCATCCCTCCCGCTAACCAGGGGATACATGGAATCCCAGCACTCTAGGAGGCTGAGGCAGAAGGAGTATAAGCCCCAGCCAGCCTGGGCAACTTAGTAGCTTGTGAGACACTGTCTCAAAAGAAAAAAAAAAATTTCTAAAGCAGCTGGGGATGTAGCTCAGTTAAAGAGCCCGGGTTCAACCTCCAGAACCCAGCTCTGCTCCACACACACACACCTCTTTTGCCCTGACCCTGGCAGGTCCACCTTATCCTCACTTCCCTTCATACCACCCGTCACCCCTGAAACTCTGTCCACGTCTCCTAGATTCCTGAGCCCCTTCCTCTGGAACACAGGCTCCTCCCAGGGAAGTTTTTGTTTTGTTGTTATTTTTGGTACCAGGAATTGAACTCAGGACCCTGCGCTTGCCAGGCAGGCACTGTGTCACTGAGCTACATCTCTGGCCCCCCAAGGGCAAGTTTTTGCTTGTTTTGTTCAGTGCTGGATCCTCTGAGCCCAACACAGCGGTTAGTACTCAACTGATGTTCAGACTTTTTCTTTTTTGGACCATGGAACAAGCAGATCGTAGCTGTTCTGTAATACTTTGAGAGGATGAGACCTTCTGGCTCAGGCCTCAGTTTCCCCACCTGTTACCTTGCAGTAACAATCACCCTGCCCAATGAGGGTGTTGGGAAGATTAAACAAGACGGGTGCGCAGGCCACAGAGCACGGCCACCAGCGGGCAGGCGGCCTTAACACCCGCCGCAGCTGCTGTGCTTTCTAAGCATTGTTACTACCATGACCTGCGCAGTCTCATAAGCATCCCTTTCTGCCCGCACCCCAGTGCCAATCATCGGAGCTGGGCCCCCGGGCATCTTCACTAAAGCAGTCAGCAGGCCCTGGCCCTGCAGGGGCCTGAGGTAAGATCCTGCTTGAGCTCTACTCGGCTGGGCTTAGGGAGACCTTGTTACTCCAGAAGAGAGGACAGCATGCCACGAAACAGAATTAAAAACCTCCGTGTCCAAAGGGATTGCTGAGCGGCAGTCGAGCTGCCCAGCTGCCCAGCTCTCTCTCACTGTTGGGTCCTATGAAGCCTGGGTGATCTGACCTCTGCTCCCGACACTTTGTTGCATTAGTCCTGGGACAGAGGCCTCCTCACAGGGATCGGCACAACCCTGCTGAGCAGTCCACCAAAGCCACGCCCTCTGAGGCCAGGCAGCCCCGGGTTAATGCTTCTGGCTCTAATTCTCTAAATGACACTGTCAGAGGATGACACTGTCAGAGGATGGGACTGATGGCCTGGGTGGTACAGGTCTAGGATCACTGGTTTCTCATCTTAGAAAGTGGGGAGCAGGCCTCTCTCAGCCTGGGTAGAGGAGCCTATGTCCCAAGGCACAGCTCAAACTATTTTTTTAATTTAAGATCACACTTCTCTGGCCTTTCTTGTCCACGCATCCTCCAAACCCATCTACTAGTGCAGGCCCCGGGGTTAGACAGCGCCACATGGGCTGGGAGACTTTCCCTGTTTTATCTACCCAGGGCTGGGTACATAAGCCACGAACAGTGGCTGCCACCCAGGTGTTTTCTGGATGGGGATGGATGAGTGAAAACTGGCAATCATCACCCTTATTGGGTGATGCAGAACTTTCTGAGAAAGAGGCCTCCTGGCCTGCTAGCCATGCGGTAACTCACTGGGTGACCTCAGTGGGAGACCAACTAAGGATTCTGCAGGGTCTTTTGGCACATTCGCCTTCGACCCCTAACATGACCAAATCTAAGACAAAGGCAGAAGTCATATGCTGAGCAATCTGCTGATGTCCCTGTCTTCTTGTTCCAGAAACAGTAATGACAATATTACCAATATTACCATGCACTGAGCTAAGTATTTTATATACATTTCATGTCCACAACTCTTAGAAGGAAAGTGCTACCCGAAAGAACGCTGAAGCTCAGAGAGGCTGAGCTGCCTGCTCCAGGGAGCCCAGCTGAGAGCAGAACTTGGGCGTCCTGCGCACCACACCTGTGCCACCTCTCCACCCCGAGGGGGCATCGGCAAGGACTCCTTACCTGGTAGGTAGGTAAAGTGCTGGGGCTGACTTCGTTTCCTTTTTCCATTGATGACATAAAAATTCACCTTCACAGAGGTGCGGATGTGCTTGTTCCGATACTCAGGGATCTCAACAAAAAGCATGTTCTGGAAGGAAGGGGCTGTCATGAACTTCACTGCAGCAAACGTCAGTCCTACCTGACCCTCAGCACAGCCGGCCAGCCCAGCTAACGGCGGGGAGGCCTGGCATGTTCCCCGCATTCACAGGCAAAACTTGATTAAAGGGAAGTCTAACGTCTCAGCTGCAGCAAGCAAAGATGTTCTGTGAAAGTTTTAAAATGGCACAGTTTGCAAAGCAGGAGGCCTGGGACTCCATACATGTGTAACTCACTTATCAAATCAGTGTGCAGTTAGTAAGCACTGCTCCTAGGTACTGCTGGGTCCAGAACAGTGGGTGGGAGGAAAAGATGGGGGGAAGGAGGCAAAGATGGAGGGAGAGGATGCGGGGTGCAGAGGAAGGAACACCGCAGGGGCTCGCAAGCACGCCGCTGTCAGCTCTCCCCGGCTTACAGGCTGGCTCTTGTCTTTATCCACCGTGGCTTCCGTCTCCCAGATTTGCTGCCCATCTGGAAAGCAAACAGGGACAAACTTTGAAGGAGCTATTAGAAACCAAGGTGTAAGCCGAAACTCACCGGGCACGCTTATCTTGTTTACATGTGTGTATACAGTTTTCTATGTATTTTTATTTATGTTGACATATATGAATACTATTTGTTCCAAAATGAAGGGATGTTGCCAGCAGTAAAAGAAGGGATGTTAAAATAGAAAAGAAAAAATAAAAGAGAAATCACTCCAAAGCCACCATCATCATCTTTTCCCCTCTGTATCTGAATATCTAATTCTTGGTTTTTCCCAAAAAAAAAAAAAAATCATTGTTATATGTTAAGCTTGATTGTGTGCTTGTTTAGCCAAAGGCTGTTTCCAAAAGGCTCTGCGTATGCCAAGACTATCCCCAGGGCCTCATTAAGGGTCCCTGACTATCCCAGACGAGCCTTCCCATCTGTCTGGGAACACAGGTGGTTTGGATATTCTGTCCTCATCAGGGGAAAGCCAGGCCCATGCCCTGTCCAGGGCCGTGAGTCACCAGGGAGCTCAGAGGCACAGAAGCCCACCCTCCACCTTTCCGGCAGTGGCCGGCCTGGGTCTCTTCTGAGTCATCACAACAGCCGATGAGAAGGTTTCGCTCAACGGCCGGTCCTCCTTCCCAGGAGCAGACCGCTGTTTCTCCAGTTTGGGGCCAGAAAATCAGGCCAAACAAAACTCTGCATTCGCAAACTGTCGATTTCTCTTGCTGACCACCTACATGGGCTACTGGGCAGTTTTCGGCTGAAACAAACCATTTCCACAAGCGTTTCCAGGGTATTTTGTTGAACGCTGATTCTGAAGGATGTTAAGTGGTTTTATGAGAAGGGGGAAAGTTCTACAAGCTTGTAAGTGTCTGGAAAATGCCAAGTCGAAGTCCTATAGGCTTTGTGACCGTGGGGCTACTCAGGAGCATCAATGTGCCCGCCTGCCAAGGGACCCATTTCACAGGTGAGATGCCCCAGGCACAGAGGAGCGAGCGCACGGGCCAGGTCATGCGGCATGCAGGCGGGAAAACCAGATTGGAGCCTGGGCAGCCTGGCTTCAGAGCCAGTGTCCCCCATCCCACGGCATGCCCCAGTGGCTCCTCTGCCTGCCAAGTCCGCCTGTTCTGGGCTCCAGTCCAAGCAAACGAGTCCTGCAGACAGCACTTCCTGGGGACATCCCTGTGTAAGACAGGGCCGGCCACCCCTGTGGCCACCCAGAAGGCTGCAGGTTCGGGTGGGAAGAGAAGGCCGAGGGGCGGAGGAGGAAACACCTGTGCTCCAGCTTGCTCTGCAGGACCCCGACAGGGTGGCAGTGGTAGGAACCCTCGCCTTGAGTCGTCTCAGCAACGTCCTGCTCCTTCTCCCTCTGTGTCCCACAGCACTTCAGCATTTCATTTTACTTATTTTTGTATTCCGAGGCAGGGTCTCGCTTTGTAGTGACAACTGGCCTTGAGCTCACTACACAGCTCAGGTTGGCCTTAAACTCAAGGTGATCCTCCTGTTTCAGCCTCCCGAGTGCTGAGATGACAGACAGGTGCCACCAGCTACCTGGCCATTTTATTCCTGTGGACTGTGGAACAGAGCACTCAGTTTTAAAGTCCCGATTGCCCTCAACTAGTTGTGTGACCCTAAATAAGTCACTAGAACCGTCTCTGCCTTTTACGAGTGGCCTTCCCACAGCCACCGTGAGGGCAAACTAAGACAGGAGGCACATGCACGGCATGGATGCCTGCCAGATCCTGGCGAGGGCTGTCCTTACGGCTAGCAGCGGCGTGTGACTTAAACACTGTCTTCCGCGTCACCCTTCGGCACATACTCCAGCACGTCAATGTTGAAAGAATAAGCCCTTTTTAATCAGAAGCCAATAAATATTCTTTGATTGCAATTACCAATCATTCTGCCTGAAGGTCTGGGCTGGAGAGATTTTACACAGGAACAGCATCCATTGTGAGATGGTGCTTGGTTTTCCTTTGCTTTCAAAAATGGATCTTTTCACCATTATGTTTTTTGTTTTGTTTTGTTTTGTTTTTTTGGTACTGGGGATTAAACTCCCAACCTCGCTGGGATTGATCTCACAACTTCACGCTTGAAGGCAGGCACTCACACCACTGAGCTAAATCCTCAGCCCACCATTATGTTTTTTATGAGCAGAGAAAATGTTCTCACACGCCTTTGCAGGAATGAGAAAGGGCACCAGACCACCAGGTGCTAGAGCTCTGCCTTCTTTCCTATCACCTTTAGGGGCCAGCAGCTCCCAGGGCAGCCCGGGCCCCGGCCTGGCCTATGTAGGCTCCCGCAGGCCCTGAGCATTTCCGAGCACACGCGTCCTCCACAGGAAGTGAAAGTGGACCTCAGCTGTCCTCCTCGCTCAACGGCGCACAGCATGGGAAGCACTCTCAAGCGGTCTCTAAGGGAAGTGTGCGGCCTGCAGAATGTCTCAAGGCCACTTTCCCGGCCTCCTCTCTTCTCCCTGCACACCCGGGCCCGCTGGTACTCTCAGGCTGGGGGTCTGTCACTGGGGAGTCACACAAGGCCATCCGATGATGGCCATCACACAGACACTGGGAGGGTCCCCTCGGCCTGGCACCACTCAGCCCATGGCCAAGTGCTGCTGTCCCTTGCCCTGCCTGTGTGTCTTCAGAGAAGCAGCTAAACCTCACGCACCTCGGTTTCTGCACCAGGGATGCAACAAAGGTTAATATGAACCTGAAAGCAGCGAGTGTGTGTAAAATGTCTAACCAAAGGCCAGGCCACGGGTAGGGCTGCCTCTGGCAGGTCCCTCTTCCTGACCCTGCAGGCCACCCCAGCCTGAGCGCCTGGGTGATTACAGCCCTCACGACAGGGAAGGACATGGCCAGGGGAAGCATCTGTGGACAGGGCGCTGGATGAATTACAGATGCACATGAGGAACCTACACAGTCACAGTCCTTCGGCCCCCAGGGTACACTTGGTGCCAGGCATTGTGACAGGCTGGGGTCTGGGGAGCCCTGAATGCACGACACAGCACCGAGGAGCAAGGCTGTGTCTACTGCTCGGGCTGAGATGAAGTGCAGGGCTTGTCCTCAGAGCAGATGTCCCGGCAAACTTCCCCTGTCCTAAATTACCAGGGACTGGCAGCCAGGACGAAAAAGGTCCTTCCAAGTCTTAGTCAGAGGGGAGGATAAAGGGGCCAAGAGCTCCGAGACAAGGGGCCTGGATGGGAGGAGACCGAGCGAGAGTCTGCAAGACAAAACTGGGTGGGTGGCGGGGCACCAGCTCAGTCCACACCTCGGCCTGTGCTAGCTTCACTGCGGGCACTGCCAGTGCCAGAGGCAACCCTGGCTGGGATGCAGGGAGAAGCAGTGTGACGGATGGACAGAGGACCCTGTGACTCAGCCAGTTGTCTGTCTCGTGCGCTGAGGGGGATGGGACGGAGCACACAGGAAGCAGGAGAGCTGGCTCGGTAAGGCCATGTCTTCTCAGCCTGGGCGAGCCAGGCCGCGTCCGCACTTGTGGGACAAGCCAGCCAGGCAGCCTGCAGGAGGAGGGAGCAGCTGTGTCCGCGTCTGGGCTGTGAGCACGCCAGGGGCCCGAGGACACGGCGCAGAATCAGGGTGTCAGCTCACGTTAGGAAACTGTGCCTGACACTTCCCAGTCTGGGTTCTGCTTCAAAAATCAGCTAAGTCAAGAGACTGAAGTCATTTTAATCGGCTCATGACTGCTAACAGGCAGGAAGCCATGCGCTCCCGAGGAGCACAGGTTTAACAGGCCCAGCAGACCTGGGGCTTCGGGAATGTCCCCTCAGCACGGGACCTCATCCACCTGAAGCAGTAACACTGCCGAATGGACAACAGAGACCCAGAGAGGAAGCCACAGGACTCCTGGAGTGGGCCTCTCTTCTACCTCACTGCTGCCTGACCATCCTTCTCTCTCGGTGTCTGTTTGTGCACCCCTGTGATCACCAGAGCAATCCTAAAAATATGAACCAGCTCACTCCATACCCCTGCTGAAAACCTGCAGGACTGTCCTGGAGGAACACCGTGCTCCTCGCCACGCCTGCAGAGCCCCAGCAGCCGTGCCCACCCCACAGCCTCTGGGTTCACAGCAGCAGCCCAGGATGCTTTTGGTTCCTCCAGTGCCCCAAGTTTGTTCTCAGGCTGTGACTCGGCCAGGGTGGACCCTCTCTCCTCAATGCTTTCTTCGAGGGTTCCTGTGGCTCCTCTTTCCTGGCTGACAGGCTCTGCTCAAGGCCACCTCTTCTGGAAGGTTCCTCCCTGACCTCTCTGCCCCAGGGTTTTCCTCACTGAAAGGACAGGCCATCCAGCTAAATCTGAGTTTCAGAAAACAGCGAACACATGCTTACTCTAAGTATGTCTCAAACCTCTGGGACAGACTTAGACTAAAGCGAGGCACCACTCAGTGAAGTTCAACCTACACGGGACCACCTCTTCTCTGAGAGACTGCAGGCCCATCATTCTCTGTCTGTCTGTCTGTCGCTGTCGCTGTCCTGTGACCTGGGATCACCACCTTAGCAGTATTTCCCTCACCCAAAGCGCCCTGCTTATCAGTGCATGTGGCTCTCAATCACACGCCTGGGCCAAGCCACGCGGGGCAGGGAAGGACACAGTACAGGCCCGGGGACGTGTACAGACGCAGTGGGGGCTGAGTGAGCAGAAAGAGGACAAGGGCCCAGCCCAGGGGCACGATGGGCAGTTTGGTGGGCTCCCCCTGGCCCTGAGCCTACCATGATCCCCACACAGCTCAGCCATCACTTTGGGAAGGGGGCAGGGGGGTTGGGGCTCCGCCCTCTGCTGGTGAGCACCTCAAGGAAGCCTGTCAACCACACTGTGACTCAGCTGCCCCATCTGTACCTGGGCGAGGGGAGGGAGACCCTGATGTCGGCAGTGCGCAGGCTCTGGGGCACAATGGGGAGTGAGTCCCCTGGCTGAGGACGCTTCATCCAGGTCCAGCAAAGTCCACCAAGTGGCTGAGGGCGCACGGTAGGCAGTGGATGCTTT